CCCCCCCCACCTACCCCCGAATCGCCCCCCAAGGGCGATTTGACTCATATTTTGTCCTAGAGTGAGGACATCCTATGACGCATAACCATTAAGGCGATTTAACCCTTAAACACAATCTACCATCACAACTCTTAACCCTTAAACACAATCTACCATCATAAACCTTAACACAAATATGAGAGTATTTGGTCCTAAAACAGACAAAATATCAGTCAAAATCGCCCCCCATTTATTGAAAAACATCTCTAAATTATCAAATCGACATGTCATAGGATGTCCTCATTAGAGGACAAAATAAGAGTCAAATCACCCCGTAGGGTGATCTGGGGATAGGTGGGGAAGATCCCACTATTTCAGGTATAATATATGATTTTTGTCCTTTAAATCATATACATGTGGGACCCTTCCATACAACTATGGTAAAATCGCCCCCCAAAAAAGTCAAATCGCATCCCGGGGGTGATCCTAGTGGTTATTTTGTCATACGTTGGTGAAAACTAGTTATTTTGTTAATGTACAGTGTATAAATCAGTTATTTTGGTTAATTTCCCCCATACCAACTGTTATATTTTCAGCTAAAAAACGGTTTTTTGTATAAGTTTTTTAAATAAATTAAAGCTAATGGTAGTGAAATACGTCAGGGTGACATTTTGCATACTATTTTGAAATCCAAAGCTTGTTTTTTTTTTCAAATCTAAAAAATTACTCTAGTTGTATTATAAATACAATATTTGATTCAATTAAAAAATGATAAAAGAATACGCAAGGAACACTATCAAGGCCGACCCGTAGATTTGGATCTGGATTGATCCATAGACCAATCTATATTATTTATCATCATTAATTAAAAAATTGAAACTTTACTTTAAAATGTTTTATCGCAAAATTTATAACTATTTTAATCAAGAATTTTTTAACGATATATGATTTCATACTTAGATGAAATCCTTTCGTCTACAAAAATATTTAAGTTAAACTTACATATTCAAAAAACGAAAGACGCCAATTTCAAGTACTAGTTATATATTAAAATAGAGGTCGAATTATGCTTTTGATCCTTATACAAATCTTATACAAAGTCTAGATTTAGAACTGGTGTTAATAAAACCCAACAACGGTCATTTTCTCCAACTTACGGAAAATGTCCCGAAATGACTAAATTATTTTCATGCCTCTAACTAGTAGTTATCTCATCATAGTGTTACTAGTAACATTCTCCAACGATGACCTAATACATATGCCGACAAAGAAAAAGAATTAAGCTTAACGCCTATTGAGTTCAAACAGTTTTCATTTTTAATATAAATGGTAAAACTGAAAGGATGTTATTTGAATCACGATTTTTAAAATGAAATGTAGTAAGTATAAAATCAACATCTTTTACGTGATGAAAACTCATTAATCAAAACATTCATTTAACATGAAACCAAAACCTCATACTCACACAAAATGTGAATAACATTTAATATCCAAATACTGAAAATAAGGATAAAACTCTACTGTCAAAAACACCAAAACATGGATAAGTTCCAATATACCAAAACCATAAGTTATAGATACACTCCAT